ACTGCCAAAGCCAACCCCAATGGCAAACTGATCAGCTTTGTAACGAAAGAAGATGTTCTCAGTGTTCTGACATCTGAAATTTGGTGGGCATTGAAAATGGTGACATCTCACCTTTCTTTTAAAAGCAACATTGGCATAAGTGATTTATTCTGCTGCATGTTTCCTGACAGTTCAATAGCTAGCAAGTTTTCACTCAACAAAACCAAGGCAAGATAGGGTAAACGCGGTATATTCCGTCATCGTGGGTAATTCCGTCACCTCTCTAGTTTTTCCTTTATATTAAGCTTTGTTTTAGTTCCATGTGTTTGTTGATGGTTGAAATGGTGTCGTCATACATTTGCGCGTCGAACTAATGCCAAAACACTAGGTCTTGGCCATCTAGCGGGAAAATATTGAGATCCAAAGAGAGACAATGCACGCTACCCAGTGAGATCATCGAAAAATGTGTCAAATTTGACAGTTGACCTTGCTCTACCAAATAGTGAATAACTGTTTGTATAGGAAGAATATTATCATTATGGTTTGAGACTTTTAAATAGCTACGTCTGTGAATATATTAGGAATCCTTTAAGTATACTTGTATTCGCTGATTTCAAGTGGTAAATAAATTAATAGATGATTAAGTTGAGAAATGGATTTAGACAGAGCTGGGCAGCGCTACTTGGTAATGTAGCGGCGCTACCGCTACCGCTACATGCTCTAAATGTAGCGGGCGCTACCGCTACACCCACTAGATTGTAACGGGCCCTACCGCTACCGCTACAGTAAAATGTAGCGCGCTACATTAGCCGCTACAATGGCCAAAATGATTGGAAATCTCTAAATATTTATTGTTCTGCTATTGGGATTTACTCATTAACATTTAATGATAATAAAACATTTTTAAAACATATCAAAGCAACTGTATTGCAATTAACCTAACCGAACTAGTATGGGTTACCCCAGGGTTAGATACAGTAAATAGAAGTTACAGTTATTTTTATGTTTTACCTTCCCTACATGGATGTGTACTTTAATCTACCAATTTAAAAATTATCCACATAAACATATAAAAGTCGGTCTTTTTTTCGTATATATACATGGATTATTTTTGAGATTGGTAGATTGAAGTAGACATCCATGTAGGGAAGGTGAAACATAAAAATAACTGTGTAAAAATAACTGTAAGCAAACTGAAAGATGAAAAAACCTGCAAGTGGTAACTGGTAACAACTTAACAAGTAACAACAAGCATGTTGACACTAGTAACAGGCTGAGGTTGACAACATAACACCGAAATCTTTTGTAGAGTTTTATTCTAAGCCGCTACCGCTACTGAAAATGTAGCGGCCGCTACATGTAGCGCGCTACTGCCCAGCTCTGGATTTAGACACATGAAAACTAGCCTAATTCCATTAAAACTTGAATTGGACAAAAATTACAAAAATTAAAGAAATTTGCTTAATTAAAAGCTTAATAGTTGTCAATTAAAAGCATAATTAAGTAGTGTTCAATATTCATTAGTGTTCTAATTCAAAGCCGTGTTGTATTCCAATACAGCTCACACAGCAAACGGAATTCGAACATGTGGATGACGGCATTACTTATCAGTAGAATTTGAAGCGCGGACGGAATATGCCTTACCACGTGCCGAATATTGCCACACACAGTGACGGTATATAGGGATTTGGTAGGTTTGCATTCTAAAGGCTTTTACATGAATATGGCAACATTTTGTGACGTTTCATCGTAGCCAACGCGTACTACTGTGTTTTGAGAGTCACCTGAAGCAAACAGAACTTGAGTAAAGCATACGGTTATTTTTTTATAGTTTTTCATTTCTCGATGCGTCCTTAATGTGACGGAATATACCGCATTTACCCTATATCACCACGTTCAGCCTGGGACCTTGCTTTTTGGATATGCTTAAGCAAAATGCTTGCACTGCTGAGTGATAACTTTGTGCTGCTTTTTGATGAGTCACTTGATGATGACAACGTCGACAAGTCGGTGGTTGCCCTGCGTGCTGTGGTTGATCATGTTGCACATGTTGGTGGCCTGGACAAGATGACCATCACCAAGAAGATGCTGCTTGCAGCCCACACTCAGGAAGATGTATATAAATGGTAAAATTTCCCGCGCATATATAGTTTTTTATATTTTCTTCGTGCACGCGTTCGTGCAAATCACGGTCATCGATTCCACGCGGCGCAGCACTCAGCGCGGGCCGCGGAGCCGTCCGACAGGGCCGACACAGTTCTGATTTAGACACAGTTTTCATCTAAATGGAATGGCAACATCGTCTGTAGATTTCAACTTTTCAAGTAACGCTGAACGATCTTCGACTTCGAGTGTGATGTGTCCCTCTGAAGCTATTCTCATTTTTATTAATGTTTTTTGTTCGCCTCTATAATTAACCTTCATCGTTATGATCGTTGCAATAAAAATGAAAATTTATTATTAAGATAGATTTCTTCCGGTGCATGTGTTTTTTTTTTTTTGCAATTAGCACTTATTAGTGAATAAATGATTTGCGGTGTGGTTCTTTAATCTTGACTTCTGCAGTTCGCGCCATCCCGGCCATCAATTCTACGCCGCACAAGAGCAGTTTGTGGAGGAACAGATGCAATACTCAGTACAGTATGCCTTTAATTATCCTTCAATAATATATGATTTTTCTTGATACGGAAATTTGGTTAATGAGAAATCTAGAACTTTATTGTGGAAGAAATTATCTCCAGAATCATATGGCAACACTGAACACCGTATTTTTACATTTCGTATGTTTAATAGCCGCAGTTTACGATACCGTATGTTCCGTATCCGACAAGCGGAAGAGTCAGAAGTAACCCGGAGTCCCGGACATTTCTTAGATTTTATTATTGTTAGTTCAACTCGCGTAGTTGATATAAACTTTGATGACCAACGAAATATAACATTTTTATAGGGAAACTTCATGTTTATTTAACTTTATTATACTACAAGTAATGATCTTTATTTAATTATAGCCATGTTGAAATGTTTTTTTTTTTGTGAAGCCTGCTCCTAGATCATTAATGCTTTTATATACATCCTCATATTGTTAGGGACGCTCTCCGCTTCCATCAGATCTTAAAATATAAAAGTTTAATAGATACAGATTTGTATGAATAATGCCATTCAATATTGTTAGCTACATTAAATTGAGGGTGAAACATGGGAATGGCAATGATTAATTTATCTGAAGCAACCTTTACAAAATTAGCGTCAAACAAGCAAACGNACCTACGGAACAATTTTCATATGATAGTTATAATTTTTACACATTCAAAGTACGCATGACATATCATATCATAGTGATCTCGGCGCTGCAGTTGCAGTGTAGGCCTGGTGTGGCCTGACATAACATAACGCACCCAGATTTGGAAACCATAATTGCTCAGAAGCAAAAATAAACGACAGACCATTGACTTATTTGCAAATATATATATTCATATTTTGTATCACATAGCATAATTACGCTCTGTAATTATGCCATATTGACCTAATTTGTATAGTCCATTTACGCGCATTGTTTTTAGGTATTGATCGTGTCGATTTTGCCGGCCGGGAGGATGTCGGTAATGTAGTCCCACCATTGTCACGCAGGTTTGTACTGTTGACGTACAGGTTCATACCCTACTTGCCACAACCAGTCCAGTCATTCATTAGAAGGCACATCTAAAGCCATGTTGCCTTCTTTAGTTCTGTAATTCATGTCTGATTGAATTGTGATCTATTAATGAATATCCATTACTGTGCTGGCTCTTAGAACCTGAGTCCTGAGTTGATGCGTTAGCAATCTAGGCAACTCATATCCAACCACAACACAATGCGGATACATGTTAGTGTGTATGGTCAGTGTGATTACGTAATTTGCGTTGCCGCGCATCCATATATAAACTATTTTAGCTTTCTAAAAGTACGACGCACGGCGCATTTTTTCACCGGCATAGTACGGCGCACCGCACAGGTCGTTAAAATGACAATATAAATTCCCGCGCACCTGGCACATCTTCCTGACCATGGCTTGCAGCTGGCAGTGCCAAAACAGCCTACAATAATTATGTGGCAGAAGAGAAAGATCAGAATGCGAAGTAGAAGAAAAGTTGCACGGAGGAGGGCATCTAGGCGCTTGAGCAAGCAGCAGAAGTAATGGAGAGAAAGGGGGATTTGAAAATTAACTCAAAGTTAAATGCCATGAGGCAATCTTTGAAAACAAAGCAACAGGAGCTAGACACTACACTATTGAACTGAACACTAAAGAAAAAGAAGATGAAATAGCTGCCAGTTGAATGTTAGGGTAGTGGTGCTGAAGTCTGAAATGTATTGTCCAGATATTATCATGTACAATCTTGTGCGCATTTCTCAGTATTTGTTGGGATTTGACATTATTGAATACATAATGATAAAAGTGTAGGCTTTATTTTCAGGTTTGTGTCATTTCCTCTGTGTCTGCCTGCTCTATGCATTTACTGTGATAGAATATGCATGGTTAGTCTTTCAGTCATGCTAAACCTGTCATGTACAAGTCTGGGAAAATTATATTGTTGGTCATGAAGAGTCATGGAATTTTTTTTCTAAATACTGGTACAAACCCTACATTTAAATTAGACTTTTCATATCATTTTTTAGACCACCAAGATCTCTGCAGGAATGATTTTCTCTGGTGTAATTGTTCATGAAATTACATGTTACATTACTCACATGATCAAGCTGCAAAATATGAAATTTACATTAATGTGTGATGGTGAGTTGTGATATCATTTGTATTTTTCCTGTCACAGATGAGTTTTGCTAAAATTTAATGGACCTTCCACCTTTTTGGAGTATGAACTTATCTCTGCACTTGGTGGGTGTGATTATCATTCCCCACAGGTGCAGAGCTGGTACAGTACCTGTTTTACTTTTTACCAAAATTTCAAGTACAGGTGACAGTAAGATATACCTATTCTAAATAGCCTAATTTGTGTTTGCATGACCTTGTCTGTATTAAGTGTCTTGTCTTGTGATAATCCACTTTTAAGCTTGTTTTTTTTTTCTTTCAGTACCTATTAAAATACTGTGTTTGAAGTAAGCAGCAATGTATTGTTTACATAGAGCTCAATGCACTTCTGTGTTGGTCAGTGAAGCCTACAGGATTGGAGGATGTGCTGTAAGGAATGGAACAGATATTCATTCATATTGTACTGCACTGCACATGAAGAAGCAGGCTGAGCCTAAAAGTTTAGAGAGTTCTGCAGGCAATGCAAAGCCTGCCAAAGCACAATTCAGCAACAATAAATCACAAATGAAACTGGCAAGATTTTCTCCATATCGCAAAAATGCCTCATTGAAAAATATTAAGGCTCAACTTGATTCAAAAGCTTTATCTATCTCCCCTATAATACATTATTTACATTCTGACTATCTATTATACAATTCCTACATTAATGAAAAAGTAGGATCTTTGTCCTATAACTGCCGAAGAAAATTAATTCAAAAGTTTTATAAACTGTACTCGAAGCAACTGTCTGAGACATCAGCCCCACTAATTGTTCAAATGCATAGCCAATCATCACCCATGAATGAACTAAGTTCTCTTCCAGTTATAGAAAGATCCATAACACAGAGTAATTTTCCACTATCTCAATACATGGAAGTTGAATGCTCTGAAGTGAAAGAAAACCCCTTAGACAACAATGACCTCCCAACCATTAGCACTACAACAGACATGGCTATGCGTATGGAAGACTACAATTATGGAGACATTCCAGCTGTAAGCCTGAAATCTCAGCCAGAAACACACTTGGGTACTGAGATCCGTCATGCAATGTCCATGGAACGTGTGGTGCGCGTGTTTGGCAATGCATATTATGAAGATCCAAGTGCTGCTGAGCAGGAGATGTGGCAGCAGCTTGGTACTTCTGACCCCAAAATCCCTGCTACATCTGTTCCTTGTGGGGGCTGTGGAGCTCTTTTCCACTGCCATGACCCTTCCATCCCAGGTTAGTCTTTATTTCATCTTGCCTTCATTATACTAATGGCCTCAGGTCCTGCTTCATTGTGAATTAAAATTACTGAGAGGCGATTTAACCCTTGCCTACAATTTGCAACTGCATGAAAATTAATTTCATTTACATTACTAGCTATTTTACCAGCTGTGATATACCGTATGTGATATTTTTTGTTAGTCGGTGAACCTTATGAAGGGTACAAACTTCAGTACAGAAAGTGCATATACTGTATTATAGTGATATAATAGTAATAGTTGCTATGTCTATTTTCCAGTTGAATAGTATTCTCTGCCAATTAAATGTAATTCTCTGATTTCATAATGACTTATGAGTAATTTGTTGTAATGTCAATGTAAGGATACAAACCACGCGAGATGATTGTTGGAGTGCCAAAAGCCGTGCTGTCCTCAACAGTTTGTGCTCGCTGTTACTTCCTGACGGTGCACAACACTGCTCTGCAGGTCAGACTTGAATGATCACTATTCCTGGAATATTTGTATTTATGTCATTAAAATTTCACTTCCAGGTGTTGTATTTTCACTTTCAGTTATTTCATTTTTAAATGGAATCAACTTTTTGATTCTTCAGCAGTCTTACTCATCATCATGCACTAATTATTTAGCTTTTTCTATGGAAATTCATGATGAATTGGCAGACAATAAAAGTTGTTAACTAACTACGCAATAAAAATATTGGCACCATTAATGTTCAATCACAAATTCATTAAAAATTGTGCTTGAAAGTGATTTCCTAAATTAACTTGATTGGATACCTCCTGAGTGAGCTTAGAAAATGACAATAATGATTCTATGAGGTTTTTCTGAAAAAATTATTTTAAGATTGAGTTGTATAACATTTCATTAGCATATTCTTTGCAAATTAATATCCCTACATTATAAAATGGTGTCTCCCAGGTTCAGAAACTCGTACTTGCACCACATTGTAGTATAAAATTTCTAAAATAAGTCTTTTATAGCTGTATAGATTGTTCATTCATCAATATCCTATCTTTACAAAATGGACGTCTTCCAGGTTCGAGTGTCCCCCGAGTCATACTTGGACATCCTACGGCCCATCAGGGACAAGAACTGCTTGGTGCTGTTGCTGGTGGACCTCACTGATGCTCCCTGCTCCATCAACCCAAACATCATGCAGATTATCAGTCAGTACTGCTAAGGGTTATGCTTATGTTTCTGTTCATGTTGTGTGCTGCTCATGATGTGTGTGCTGCTCATGATGTGTGTGCTGCTCATGATGTGTGTGCTGCTCATGATGTGTGTGCTGCTCATGGTGTGTG